CCCCCAAGCAGCAAAAGCTGTGAGTAAAATTTGTGGAAAATTACACATTCTGTGACAAAAAATTAACTTTTACAAATTATTTAGTCCCCGGGGGAATATAACTATGTAGACGTGAAATATCTGTTTTGTTTTATCTAGACACCGTTTAATTTCAAACGTGCTCGAAGGTGTTCGGTTTTTTTTCCGTTCCCGGCGTAGTAACGGGTTCCCCACACCCTTTCCCCGGGGGAGGCAAGCTAAACTTGGAGTATCTGACCGGACCCCCCGGCACTAAGCTCCCGTGGCACTCATCACAGTGAACGTTTAAAAAAAAGTGATTTCTAACAGTTTATGTTAATATTTTTTTAATTGTTACTGAAACTTTTTTGACATTAGGTGATATAAGGGTTTAAACCAGAATAAATTGACAGCTTTATGTAATCAACCTGTATCGCTGGAGAGTGTGATTGAGAATAAATAAGCGTTTTTAATATTCTTTTTTTGATGAAGAAATATGCCATAGTTTTATAAGTTTATTTATAATTCAGCTAGCATTATAATTTGAATCTTGTAAAAAAGCCCAAAAGTTTTAAAGAGCTTGTTTTAGGCATTTGCATTGAAGATTTTTAATATTTTTTTCAAATTAAGACAAATGTAAAATTAAAAAAGGCTTTTTTTTTGCTCCCGATATTAAGCAAGATGTTTTTTTTTTTTTGGTATTTTATATTTTTTTTAGGGGAAAAAAGGAGCAGAGGGCCAGGTTTTGTTAAGATCAGGGGGGAGAAATGGACCACCTTTTTTCTGTGCTAAAAAAACTCAGCCACCCCGGGTTGGAGGGATAATAAAAACATTCTTTGCAGTCACTTTTTGTCCAGTTTCAAAATTCCTATCTTTCTAACTTTCATAAATATCCACCCAGTGATTAACATACTTTTTTCGGTTTTCCCCCTTTTCCCTTTTTTTTGTATAGGACAATTCTTGAGGGCCAAAGGGGAAGGACCCCCTTGCAGCCCCAAAAAATTGTGAGACAATTTGAAAAAAAAAAAAAAAAATTTAGAGATGTTTCAGAACTTTCTCATGTCACACACAAATAAAAAAAAAATTTCTAAAAGTCTTGTTGGTTTCTTTTTTAGTCAACTCTTTTTTTGTTCCCCTAACTTTAGGATTGTAAGTATCCAGGGTCAGGAGAGGGAGTCAGGGGAAAAAAGCCCACTGCGCCTACTTGGCCCTGGTTTGTCCTTATGGATGAGGTGTTGGGACAGAGGCCCTTCCACAATGCATCCTGTCCTAATTGCCTCCATCCCCTTTGAGGACACTCCAAAGGGGCCAAGCGGAGGGGTTGGAACCCCATGCAGATGGAGAAGGAAGACAGTGAGCAAGCAGTAAGGGGTCAGAAAAAGAAAGAGGGACAGATATGAGGAGATGATGGAGTTGATCAGGGAGGACATGAGGGTACAGAGAAAAGCAGAGGAGAAGAGGGCACAGAGGATGGACAGACTGTTTTCCATCGTAGAAAGAATGGCACCAAAATAAGGTGCTATAAAAAAAATAAGTTTTGTTCAGATTGTTTCTTAAAGTTTTAAGGTGTTCTAATAAATTTCAAAATTGTTCTTGTCACTAATGTTATTTACATTTGATCTAACAATACATCAACTTCATTTAAATTTGTAAACACAAAGTTTATTTTGAAAATTACAAATAGCATTTTAAACAGAATGTGGAAAAAAAGAACATTCAAACAGATCAAAATTACAAGACACAAATGGCATAAAATAAAACTATGTACAAGTATTTAGAATGGCGACAGCAAGATCAACCTGAGTGACCAGTTCCAGGAACACCTCTTCAACAGAGAAAAAGGGGAGATGTCTTTCTGAACAGAAAGTCTCTGGCGGTGTGGCTAAATCTCTCGCAAGGTCATAGACATGGATGGGATGCTGCAACTGAGACCTGTGGTTTGTCTTTCTGGATGGTGAGCGAAGCATCACACAGGTGGTCTGCAGATGTTTGTGATGCCTCTTTCTGCTGTCCACGTCATCATCCATCAAGTTTAAAGGGCTGGCTGGACCACATCACTTAGATGTAATCAGAAATATGCAGAATTAGAAGATGGTGCTCACAAAATATTACAATTAGTTAAACCCCTCAAACATTAATCACATCTATAATATTATACTTGCCTGCATACAGTAGTCATGTTCTGGTGGTGTGTATATAAATATATACACTGCTCAAAAAAATAAAGGGAACACTTATATGGAATTAGTTTTGTGCCTAAAAGATTGTGAAAAACTCTTAGAACATCAAACAAAAAATAAGAATTTGAGAAAAAATATCATTTCAAAAGTCATTTCAAAAGTAAAACATGCTATCTGTGATCAATCTCTTAAAGCAATACTGTAAAGTCTTTGTCTTGTCTTTGTTAGACTGATATATTTTTGTTATCATTTTCCCCTGTTTCATTCTCGCTGATCAGAGTTTTGCTCTCGCTGCCAGCTTTGCAATTACACTTCCTCAGGCTCTACTTTGCGCACCCTCACTTTTTGTTTGCACTTCTGGCACAAACCTCTCGGGGGGGAGGGTCTTCTGAGAAGTCTTTTGCCATTGGACAGAGATTTCTTGAGTGACATATCAGTGACCCGGAAATTGCGTAGCGTACGTCGCCACCAGGGCGTTTTTTTTCTTTTCTTTAGTAGACAACTACGCTGAGATTCCAGCCGTTTTGCATGCACAGAGGATCAGAGGTGAGTATTGACCATATATTTAATGTCTTCTCAGGCACTCCTTGTTTTAATCTTTAAGTAAAGCCAAGAGATATTTTGTAAGTTAGCTTTAAGCAGATAACTAGCTATCAAAAGCAGCCAGTGCTAACGGGGCCTGCAAGGGGGTGACCTTCCCCTGTTGGCCCATCTTCTCCAGAATTGTCCTAAACAAACAAAAGGAAAGAGGGAAAACCAAAAGAAGTATTTTAATCACTGGATGGATATTTATGAAAGTTAGAAAGATAAGAGTTTTTGAAACTGGACAGAAACTAACTGCAAAGAATGTTGTTGTTGTAGCTCCAAGCCACGGTGGCTGAGTTTTTAGCTCCAGTAAAAAGGTGGTCATTCTCACCCCTGAGCTTAATAAACTGGCCCGTCCGCTCCTTTGTCCCTAAACAACAAAAAACCCCATCTTGCTTAATATCAGTGTAAAAGAGGCCTTTTTTATTTACATTTTATCTTAATTTGCAGAATATATTAAAATATTTCTATGCAAATGCCTAAAACAAGCTCTTTCAAACTTCTTTTAACTTCTTTACTGAGATTTGCTTGCATTTGAAAGTGTATTTCTCTTCAGCTGTACCTGGAATCACGAATTATAATGCTAGCTGAATTATAAATACACTTTTAAAAACACATATAGCTCATTTCTTTATCAAAAATGAATATTTAAAAGCTTATTTATTCTCAATCACACTCTCCAGCGATACGGTAGGATTACATAAAATTGTGTCCCCTTATTCAGGTTAACTTTAATATCACCTGTAATGTCAAATCGACTTACATGAACAAATGACACAATACATTAAAATAATACTAACATAAACTGTTAGAAATCACTTGTGTTTAACGTTCACTGTGATGACTGGCAGCAGGAACTCAGTGCCGATAGTCCGGTCAGATCTTTCCCGGACTAGCTTGCCCCACCGCCGGTAGGGCTGGCGAGGCAAGCCCGGAGCACGTTTGAAACTAAGCGATGTCTTGATAAATCAAGCAGATTTTTCATGTCTACACAGTTATATTCCCACACTAAAAACATTGTAAAAGTTAATTTGGGTCACAGAAAGTGTAATTTTTCACAGTTTACTCACAGCTTTTGCCAATGTGGTCCGCCATGGCTGCCCCTGTTTGACCAAACCGCTTCGACCCGCAATGAATCATGGAAAAAGATAGACCGCGAAGGATACTCACAACTCATCCTTCAAATAGGGCAAAAGAAGGACACATTTGTCGGCCGCATTTGACAGACCTTCCGCGCCGCGCTGTGACGTAATTGGCCCACAAGTACGGACTTGGAAGGATCCAGCCCCTGAATTGAGACACACCCTCGGCCTGCACATGGATCCTCCTCCTTCCTGTTTATTGACCAATAGTAGAGGAGCTGGAGCAAGAAGGCAGCCCTCCTCATTTGCATAATGAAGGAGAAATGCATACGGTAAAGGAAGAAGAGAGATGAGGAAATGTAAAAAGAACAAAGGCATGTGTAAGGAAAAGGAAAAAGAAAATATATACATTTCTTGATGAAAACGCATGTCTAAGGAAAAGGAAAAAGAAAATATATACATTCTTGATGAAAACGCATGTCTAAGGAAAAGGAAAAAGAAAATATATACATTTCTTGATGGAAACGCATTTGTAAGGAAAAGGAAAAACCAAATATATATATTTCTTGATGAAAATGCATGTCTAAGGAAAAGGAAAAACAAAATATATATATTTCTGCTTTTATTTTTAATTTTGTCAGGATCGGTCCTTCATAATTAGGAGCCTCTCTTTTCATCAAAAAAGTTTCTGTCTCTCCAGCCGTTCGATTGGGGAACGCTTCAGCTTTAATGAAAGCAAATGCTCTCTATCCACTTTCACGTGTGAATGTTAAAACATATTCCATCCCCGAAAATTCAAGGGTGTGCACCCAAGAGAATCTTTTCTTAGGTATCTTTCCCAAGTATGTGGTGATTGCATTACTGGATCCTAACGATTTTACAGGAACACGCGATCTCAATCCGTTTGACTTTAATCATTTTGAAATGGAATATTTAGCCTCGTGTAAGGATGGTAGACAAATTCCTGCTAAGGCCTTCCAGCCCAATTTTAACCAAGGCAATTCAGTGAGAGAGTATTACAACTTGTTTACGGCTACAGTATATATATACTATACTCACGGAACATGCTCTTTGGAATGTTTCTGGATTGTTATGGAATTTAAATTGTCATATTTTTTTTTCATTGTTTGTTTTTCTTATGATTCAATATTTGTCTGATGGTGTAGGGGCGAAGCACGCGACCATATGCAGAGGCTATAGTCCTCGAAGCGGCTGTCCCGGGTTCGAGTCCCGGACCCAGTGTTATTTACCGAATGTCTCCCCCTCTCTCTACCTCTTTCCTGTCTACCTACTGTCAAAAAATACAAAATAAAGGCCACTAGTGCCAAAAAACATATCTTTAAAAAAAAAAGAAATAGGCTACATGTTTCATTTTCTTATAACAGTTTATGGTGAAAATGTAACCCATCGGGGAGGTAGTGTCGTCTTACGAAGAGACTTTTCTGGCTTCCGATCAGCATTTTTTGGATCTTCCTGTTCGGATGTCGACCAATGGGGTGAAAGAGTTATCTGCCTTCTTCTTCTTGTTCTTCTCTGCTTAACGCTGGGAGGTGCTTCAGCATTTTCAATAGAAGATCCCTCTCCCTCTGTTTTGAACCGTCTATATTCATCACGAGCATAAGGGTTAATGACTGAAGATATGGGGATGTTTACCGCTGACAAGGTATGTAGAAAGTCTAACCATCCTCGGGGTAGCGGTGCTCCAGATTTTTTAAACGGAAGCATGAGATTTTTCTACAAGTCAAACATGTGGGACCCCTTCACAACATTTCCTTTATATACAAATTCACCTCGCGAAGTCCAACTCTCACTTCTTTAGGATAATTTCTTCAAAATGTACTCAGCATTTTTACGGCTATGCTTTGGTAGGCTTTTCAGTTCATCCATATCAACCTGATCCGAAGGGGCCTAGTCCTGCCCCGGGCCTTGTTTTTCTTGAGACCGCTCAGGCACCTCGCTTGATGTGTCACGGTGCAGCGTCAAACTCACCCGCTGTTCTTCTTTCACACCTTGCTTGAGTAGAGTCAGATACCTCTTCAAAAGTGCATCATATTTCTTGATTTTTTCATAAGAAGTCAAACCAGGCTCGTTTAATATCGCTCTCATGTCTGCATCCAAATTCTCCTCCGCCGCCTGTCTGATGGACGTGTCTGACTGGGTCAGAAGCTTGAATTGATGAAGGGAAATGAGAAGCATCTTCTTAAATGTTCTGAGAGACATTATCTCCTGATTATTCTACCCACTAGATCACCGATCAAGGGGGCAAGAGCCGTTAAGATGGGGAGAATAAAACCACCTCCTTGACTTTTGCGAGCCAGCTGTTTACGTTTTATACTGGTTCTTTTATCAGCCAACAGTCTGATGATTTTTCTCTGCTTTTTCAATGGTCAGTGTTGAGAAGGAGTAAGTTTAATGTTACCTTTTAAAATATTCAGAGCAATCTCACACAGAGCCTGAAGAAAGTCGGGAGAGCAGTGTGCGAGAATATCTTTATGTTTCTGAGGAGTAGCTTGGTACAGAGCTCTGAATAATGGGACATTACTTTTTATACGTGCAGACATGATGACTTACTTTGTTTTGGGTATATACACAGCAGGCCACTGGTGAGGAAGTATGCCCGTTCTCAGTCTGAAATGTTCTGGGCAGGTGGGTGTAAAATCAATGATTAAATAGCCATGAGCGTCTCTTTTCTTCAAAACTCTCCAGGAAGAGCCCCTTTTGAGATGGAAACATTTGTCGGGCCAGTATTTTCAACTGCAGTTCATCTCTGGTTTTTTAAACAACACCATATAATTAGCGTTCAGGCTGATGGTGCGACTGTACTTTCCCTGATGAAATACATTCTGAGTCAACATCATAACGCTCATATTACGATGGTGACGAAACTGGGTAAAGACCTTCATCACGTTTTCATCATCTGAGGTTTGAGCAATAACATCGTCTGAAATAATCAGATGATTCTGATCAGGAGGAAACAGGTTTTCATCTTCAAAAGAATGAGGCAATCCTTCCACAAAGGTAATTGTTGGGGATGGAAAAACTTATGATTTGTCTTGCACTTTATCACTCATGCAAGCTATGTATATCTGACCTTTATGTGAACTCAGCATGCAGACTGTGCGAGGCCAAGTCACTTTCTGTTCCCCCTTTTTTCTCCTTTTTTAGAAATGCTACTTTTGAAAAACCCAAAACTGTCTGTATTTTTTCGAAAAACGCTGTTCCCCCCCCCTCTGTATCACACACACTCAAACTGTCTGTAACCAACACACCCACACTCTGTTCCAAGAACTGTCTGTGTCTGCCTATAAAAAAAGAAGTCATGGGGCCTGCACTTTGTAATTCCCCCCCCAAAGAGTGGGCTACCATCTTGCTGCAAGATTAACAGAGACTCATGTGTCGTTTTTTCTGAGCTTGACTTTTTGAAAAATTCTAACATTTAAAATGGTCCTTCGGGGGCAGGAGATTTAAAATCTAACTTTTATATCTTTTACAGTGACCTAAGGGGATCCCGGGGATTCACCTGACGCCGAGGAAGCGCTACCGGGGGTCCCCCCGGCCCGGGGCCCAAAGCCCCGGGGGTGAATTCGCATCAGGCCGGTAGATTTGCTTCACTCGACACCTGGTGACTGTTGGGGTCCGAAAGAGTCACTGAAGTCAGCTTAGAGGTGAGAAAATTTTGTTGTAATAAGTACTTAAAGCAGTCGTAGGTAGTGTCTCGCTGTAAGGAAAAAGCAATTGATTAGGTGTTCCCCCGAAAAGGGATAGTTACAAAATTGGTAGGATCCCCCCGTAAGGGGACCAGAAACGAGGGGGATTTCCGCCGTAGGGAACAGGATAATTTTGTTGGTAGCATTCCGCCGTAAGGGGGAATGAAATAAGTGTTAATAACGAAAGGGCTCATAAAATAGGTTAGGTTGGGCCCAACACTGTTGGGAAAAGTGGACTAGTCAATTACTAACTGAAAAATGTGTTATGTGTGATTTTCTGTCATTGGGAGGACTAAGGTTTTTTAAAAATCGATAGAAGGATTCTCCTAGCCGTGTTTTTTTCTTTGCCTAATCAAATAAAGTACTGACGGAAAAAGGAGTGTGGTTTTCACCCCTTAAAACGACACGCTGTGCAGAAAAGCACAGTAGAAGGCCGTGTTAGTGTCCCCTCTTGTGCCTCTGTCAAAACATTTTGATTGGATTTTTTCATAGTTAAATAAAAAAAAAGGGAAAATGGGGAAAGAGGGAAAGCAAATGTAAAAACTTGAAAAGATGTAAAGTTTATGGAAAAAAATTTTTGAAGGGGCCGGAGAAAAACGTAAATGATGGCATAAAAAAAAAGAAATTTTCGGGAAAATTAATCACCACTGAAACCTAAATTACAGGGGGATCTTAAACTGGAGATTATGCTTTCAAAAAATCCCAGACAGTAAAAAAAACCTTTCTAATTATAATTTTAATGGGGACCCCTCAGTCCGCTGGCACACAGTGTTAAAATAAAAAAAAAAAAAAAAGCAAGAGCAGGGGCCTTAACTGACAGCCATAATATAGCCCCAAAATATAGACTAAGAGGTGGTTTTAGAGGACGTGGTAAAGGAATTTTAAAAAAAGGGAGGTGACAAAAAGGGCAACATGGACACTGTCCAACTGGACAGCCAGTGAACGGTGACTGGAGGGGGGGGAACGAATTTTTTAAAGAAATAATGTGAGAGTAAAAGATCTTGTAAGCAAGTATTGTGAAAAACGTTGCTTTAAAAATTTTTTCTATGGTGTTTTTACTACCAAAAGCCACCAAAAGGTAAAATGCAAAAGATTCATTTTACAGGGAAATAATTCCATATTTGGGCTCAGATTGTGTGCATTCTTGATTTTCTCCTTTTTGGGAGAGAAGTTAAATTTAGCTCTGTGAAGCGATCTTGACACAGGAAATGCAGCTCATTCATTAACAATAAATGTTTCTCCTATAAGTGGAAGTTTTGCTGACTAATCATAGGCTGGATCTATGAAACATTATGTGCACAGACCAAATGAACAAGGTTCTGACTGACTTATGAACCTCACTGACCTGACAATGATAACATGACACCCAACAGACAGCACTTTTAAGGTGGACCCCACTAAGAACACCCAGTAAACTCTGCTCCTATTTCAGAATAACCTGAGGCCTGCAGACCTGGTCCTGATCAAAATGCTCCACAGAAAAGATTGGAGCACCCCTCGCTGGGAAGGACCCCTCCAAGTTCTCCTCACCACACCCACAGCGTTGAAGATTGCAGAAAGACCCTCCTGGATTCACAAAAGCCACTGTAAGCCAATATTGCCTTTGCAGGAGCCAAACCAACCGACGGGTAACAGAGGAAGCCCGGCTACAAAGGAGCTGGTGACCCCTAGGGCCCAGCGTCTCAAACCGGTGAAGAAAACAACTGATCTGCGCCTAATTTAGTATGGCTATCTGCAAACTACTTATTTGCCTGAGCCTCATGTTGGCAGTAGGGTTTCTCTTCTGCTACAGACAGAATCCACAGGATGCAATACCACACCAGAAGAGATGGACAACAGATGGATCACATCTCAGACCCTTAGAGAAAGGAGACAGAGAACACTAGTTCCTACAAAACTACTGGTAAAGATATGTCTACGACACTGCTTAATCAAAGAATAAAACAGACTGTTATGTGTGTTCTACAATGCCTGTTCACTCTCTAGGCCCTACAGTGTATGTAAGGAAAATGAATTTCACAGAGACAGCCTGTGCCCTTTCAGTAGGAATGTGGGGTTATACTAAACATACATATTTTATCATTCCCGGCCAAAATCTAACATTAGGAAACTGGATTGAGGGACTAGCCTGGCTATGTGGAAATAATGCTTATTTTGTACTCCCACCTAATTGGTATGGTGTTTGTGCCCCGGTATTTACATCCAATCACACTGTGGTAATAAGTAAAGCATTAATCATCTCTTCTTCCACTAAAAGGCGTAAAAGATCACTAGATATAAAACCACATGACCCTATCTGGGGAAAAAACGTCCCTGATGAATTCAAGCTCTGGCCAGAAGATGAAAAGGCAACATTGTCTCTCCTCCCATGGCTTGGAGTAGGCAAACAAGAAACCCTAAGTTATCGATTCGGACTGTTTCTAAATAATTCTATAAGAGTAGAAGACGGTCAAAATACAGAAATGAGTGCTATGCGAGCAATGATAATTCAAAACCGCATGGCTTTAGACATTGTAACAGCTTCGTCAGGAG